TCTGACCTCTAGGACTGTAAGATAATAAATGTGTATATTTATGCAGCTAAATTTATAGGAGTTTGTTAAAGTAGCAATAAAAAACTATTTCAGTGAAGCTTTTACTGATTTCTTTTGTCTTCATAATGACTTCCTCTATTTTCATTGTTACTATATTAACAAAACATATTGAGAACAAAAATCAGAGATGTCCCATCATTTAATCTTTTCTATCTCTTCTTTTTTTTTTTCCCTCCCATGCATCTGCCTCAGTGGGAGGTGATTTATTCTTCAGTGGGAGATCAATGATCATCTCCTTTGATTACATTTTTCCCTGTTATGTTCCATAATTGTTTTTCTGTCATTATAGCCCTGACTATCTTACTGGCTTATAGTCCAATTGCAGTTAAATTGGATTCTCTCTGAACTATGTGGGTTTTCTGCCTGAGTCTATTAGCCCCTGAAGAAGCAGGAAAGCCCATTCACACTGCCCTTCTGACTACTATTGGAGATGCTTTAAGAGTCTCCACTGCTTATTCTCCTGACTTGCTGCTTTCTGCAAACAATAAGAGAGGAGATTTAATTCCTCTGTCAGTTCAGTCCTATTGTCATAAATCTAACTGAAATTCCTCTCACTTCTTAGGCATATTATACCCTCTCTATTTTTAATTCCTGGTATATTTTCTACTCTTTCAATATTTAGCTGCTAATATTCATGAAATACAGAGTTCTTATCCAGAATCCTCTTACTATAGGATTTTAAATCTGAAATAGACCTTTTGTATAAGTTAGTCCAATTTCCTCATTTCACAGATGATAAAATTGAAACGAGTTTTGTCATTAAATATGTATGGTTTTTATGATATTACATTCAATTGCTGAGAGAAAAGAAATGGCATAGGACAGGGCATTTTTCTCTACCATTAGAGAAAATCTGTCAGTTTTACTCATCTTAGTACATTGTGGCTTAAAAAGATAATTTATACTTTTTTGTAGTGTTTCTTTGTGGGAAGGGCTAAGAAGCTTCATGTATCTCTGCTTAACTTTGTTGCTACTTAGTTCTCGGAAGTTGGAATGCTTTGAAATAATATATGCCTGATATTTGGTTTAAGCATTTCTTGATTCAGAGAAGGTACATAGAAACTAATGAAAAGAAGAAACTTATATTTGTCTTGACAAGGTTTAAATATCCTTTACAGAAAGGAAATTTGTAAAGTTTAAACATTTTTGGAAATATCTTAAATGTATGCAGGAAATCAATATATATTTAGCATATAGTCCATGGAAGAGTTAGATACTATACAACAATGAATAAGGAAGCTGGAATCTCTGCCCCTATAGGGTTTCATAGCCTAGTGTAGAGGGGATTAACAAATAACTAAGCAATTATGATACAGTGATTCCCTGGACCAGCAGCCTTGGCATTACTTGGGGCCCTACCTCTGATCTACTGATTCAGAAGTTCTTGGGGGTGTGTCAGCAATCAGTGTTTTACAAACTCTCAGGTAATTCTGATACAGGAAACTGCTGTTTTCTCAACCAGAGTTGAGAGAGAGGGTGTTGGGGCGGGGTGGGGAGGAGAGAAAGTGAGAGCACAGCACATTAAATACAGCTGAAGCTGAGAGTTTGAGTCATTAATATCTTGAGTTGAGGCTGGAAAGGCAGGTAAGTAAGGTCTGATAAGATGATTGAAGAGTCTAGACTTTTATCTAACGTGCACTCATAAGCCATTAAAACATATCCAGTAGGGAAACAGCTCGATCAAATTTTTTTTTGGTTTTTTTTCAAGACCGAGTCAGAGTCTTGCTTTGTCACTGAGGCTGGAGTGCAGTGGAATGATCTTGGCTCACTGCAGCCTCCACCTCCTGGGTTAAAGCGATTCTCTTGCTTCAGCCTTCTGAGTAGCTGGGATTACAGGTGCCCACCACCATGTCTGGCTAATTTCTGTATTTTTAGTAGACGGAGGTTTCACCATGTTGGCCTCTGACCTCAAGTGATCTGCCTACCTTGGCCTCCCAAAGTGCTGGGATTACAGGCATGAGCCACCATGCCTAGCCAGAAACAAGGTTCTTGAAACGGTAGGAAGGGTTGGGAGAGCACTTGTGTGATGAAGGGCACAACTTGTCTGCTGTAACAGAAGAGAAAAATGGATTATTGAACAGATAATTTTGTCTTTTTGGTGGGAGAAAAGTGAGGAGGGAGTTCCAATCTGATTATTTGTATTTTTCTCTGGCAACTCTGATGAAGAAAGGGAAGATGGGGTTCAAAAGTTGGAGAATGATAGGTAAGCTTAAAATAGTCATTGTACAGGATATGTAGAGTAATAATTAGGGGGAACCAGATTATCATGTAGCATTGAAGTTCCAGTTGAAGATAGATGTCATTAATTTATACAGGCATCAATCTGCAGATGTGTTGGTTTTCCCTAACTTTTCTCAGAAGCCTTAGTGTACATGTGGAAATAGCAACAAATTGGATTCATCCAAGACTGATGCTATTCTAATATATTGTTTTGGAAGTACAATGGGATAAGGAGATGTAAAGATAAAACCTTCTACTCCCTTATCTAAAGGTTCCAAAATCCAAGAAACTCTGAAAACTGAAGATTTTTCATAACTCATTTGGTTTTAAAACTCCTCTGAATGAATTTATATGAGGCTGTTTATGCCTTCATATATCAAATTTAATATAGGTGTTCATGTTTTGCTTTCTAAATTGCGTGATTATGGAGTGTTGCCCTAAACTCTGCTGTGGATGTTATATTGTGTATGGAATATGAACTGTGCAACTGTTCTTAAAACCAGAAAAATTCTGAATTCTAAAGGAATCCTGGTTGGGCGCATTGGCTCACGCCTGTATAATCTCAGTACTTTGGGAGGCTAAGGTGGGTGGGTGGATCACTTGAGGTCAGGAGTTCAAGACCAGCCTGGCCAACATAGTGAAACCCTGTCTCTACTAAGAAAATAAAAAAATTAACCAGGCATGGTGATATGCTCTTGTAATTTCACCTAATTGGGAGGCTGAGGCAGGAGAATTGCTTGAGCCTGGGAGGCAGAGGTTGCAGTGAGCCAAAATCACACCACTGCACTCCAGCCTGAGCAACAGGTTGAGACTATCTCAAAACAAAACAAAACAAAACAAAACAAAACAAAACAAAACAAAACAAAACAAAGCAAAAAAGGAAGCCTGACTCCAGCATCTTCAAGAAGAGACTGTGTTTCTGTGTTAGCAATAAAGAAGTTGAAAGGATATACTATGGAATCTAAGCTAGAGAAGGGAAAAAAAGGGGAAGATGGGGAGGGTAATCCACTGGGAAAAATAGAAGAGTCAAGAAAATAGGTAATTTCAGAGAACTGAAGTATTGGGGGTCAAGTGAGAAAATTAAAGAATGCTAAGTTGTGATGAGTAATTAGAATGTCTCTAATTTCCAAAGGGAGTCAGTTTTGGGTGATTACAATGTCCAGGGTGTGGCCATGGAGGTGGGCAACTGAGCTGTAATGGAATGAGGGATGAGGTCAAGAGAATGAGAGGTAAGAAAATTAGGTGGATGACCCAGAGTGATGGCAAGATTTGGGATGGAATGGGACACTATGAGCCAAGTTTTTCTTCAATGAATGAGGCACTGTGGAAGGTACAAACAATACCAAGATGTGTAAGACAAGGTCTTCACTCTTTCCCTGGACTGTGATCTCTTTACGAAGCAGACAAGTAAAGAGATAAATGATTATACAGTATATTAAGTATGATGTTTGAAGCATAATCTAAAAGCAATTGAAGTCTAGGTAAGGAAAAGAGAATTGAGATGCCTGGGTAAGTCAGAAGACTAACCACTTAATTGCTTCATATTGTTCCTGGAATTTTCAGTGTTTGGTAAACATTTATACATAACCTATGGATATTCAGTGGAATATTTGATCAATAATAGTGGTTAAAAGTCTTATATATTTTAGGTAATTTATTAGACACAAAGCAAAATAAAAATGAAACAGTAGAATGTGAACTGTCTTCAAGATACATTTTTCAATTTTGGAACTTCTGAGTAAGTGTAAGGCTTCAAGAATGACTTACTTTATGTGATGCATAATTTTCTAATTTCTCTTTTGTTGCTTATTTTCTAATTTTGTTTACATAGTTTTGTTGACTATATTATTCTATTTTAAAGTGTCTCAATTCTTTTTAGATTTAAGTGAGAATATAAATAAGCAAATATATTCTTATCAATGATATTGAAAAATAAGTAAAAATGTTATAAAACGTTATCACTCCACACTTTAAAAAAATATGCTGCATCTAATCTAAGTATATTTTAGTTGCAGAGCATTGTTGAAGTGTCAACTACTCTCTGGAGGTTACGTTGGGTCCTCCATAAAGAAAAAAATATTCTCATGTCATAGATTGGTTGACAAGTGCTATTCTGGGGTTAAGGAGTTGTGGGGGTAGGCAGTGCTGACCACAGGAAAGTTGAGCAGCAGATGCTGGCTTTGGGCAAAGAACCTTTGATGCACAGTGACTTCTTTGAAATGTTGGGAATGATGGTTCTTGTGGGAACCTGCATTACAAAATGTCTATCCCACTGAGAATAGAAATGCAGAATAATAGGGCAATGATACCATATCTAGAAACCATCTGTGTTTACAGATTCCCTAAATAACAGGTCAAATAGATTTTACTATGGTAAATATTCCAGTTGCAATATTCTGCAACATTTTTGTCTGTCTCAAGTATTTTAAGCGAGATTTCTGGGCCATGTGGCTTTTCTAGTAAACTTCAGTGACATGCAACCACTGAGAAGAGACCTTGTCATTTATTTTACTCCAACCGCCTTTGATCTCGAGGAGAGTAATGTTGTGAGAAATCTTGGGGTTTCTACATAATCACAAGATGGTATACAGGACCAAATGTTCAAATTCTTTGCTTTTGGTTTTCTGTTGCATGTGCTATAGAAGTCTTGTGTTACCTCTATAGCTTTAAATTTGGGTCTGTGGCTTGGTTTTCATTATCTTTTCTTCTTTTTCTTTTAGTTCACAGCCATGAATGAACCACAGTGCTTCTACAATGAGTCCATTGCCTTCTTTTATAACCGAAGTGGAAAGCATCTTGCCACGGAATGGAACACAGTCAGCAAGCTGGTGATGGGACTTGGAATCACTGTTTGTATCTTCATCATGTTGGCCAACCTACTGGTCATGGTGGCAATCTATGTCAACCGCCGCTTCCATTTTCCTATTTATTATTTAATGGCTAATCTGGCTGCTGCAGACTTCTTTGCTGGGTTGGCCTACTTCTATCTCATGTTCAACACAGGACCCAATACTCGGAGACTGACTGTTAGCACATGGCTCCTTCGTCAGGGCCTCATTGACACCAGCCTGACGGCTTCTGTGGCCAACTTACTGGCTATTGCAATTGAGAGGCACATTACAGTTTTCCGCATGCAGCTCCACACTCGGATGAGCAACCGGCGGGTGGTGGTGGTCATTGTAGTCATCTGGACTATGGCCATCGTTATGGGTGCTATACCCAGTGTGGGCTGGAACTGTATCTGTGATATTGAAAACTGTTCCAACATGGCACCCCTCTACAGCGACTCTTACTTAGTCTTCTGGGCCATTTTCAACTTGGTGACCTTTGTGGTAATGGTGGTTCTCTATGCTCACATCTTTGGCTATGTTCGCCAGAGGACTATGAGAATGTCTCGGCATAGTTCTGGGCCCCGGAGGAATCGGGATACCATGATGAGTCTTTTGAAGACTGTGGTCATTGTGCTTGGTAAGTTTTGTCTTGGCTGTAACTTACTTTATAGATTCCCAATGGCTTAACATAAACCACATTATTTTATGACAGAGGTAAACAACAGTATGAATATTCACCAGGTATATAAGCAGGAATTACAAGGGGATGAGGCACCTTTATATTAAATGTCAGCTTATGAGTTTTTCTAAAATTATAGAATTAGCATTAGGGAAACATGGGTCTCAGTGGTACAATATAAATGATGATGATGTAAAAGATGTCATTGAAGAGCTTGGAATATCTAATATTGAAAATACCAGAATTACTAATCAAACTCATTTAGTTTTTCTTACAGCCTAAATTGCGAAACTTCTGCATTATGGTCTCTGTATTACAGATTTTCAGATAGAAAGTGCTTTAGTAGAATATGAATATGCGTCCATATATAGTTATTTTTATTAGTCTATTCTGTAATTGTTACTACATTATAGGTAAGTATATCAGGGTTTACTGAACAAAATGGATCGGAATTAATGATATTCTCTGATGGTCATCTTCATGAAAACTTCCTTCTTTTAATTTTCTATTTGTAGTAATGATGGATAATTCATATTTCAAGGTGAAGAGCAAGATTTGTAGACTCAAATACCTTCTGCTTTTAAATAAGCATTGTTTTTCCTGGATGAAAAATTCATAATAGTGATCAAGAATAATATATTTATTCACTTATGTGTGTAGAAGGTAGTTACACACCTTCTGTGCTGGCTCTGTGCTGGCTCCTGGGGATATACCCATGAAAAGAACAGATATGGACATTTCCTTTGAAGCTTAGAGTGAGAATTTTTAAAAATAATTACCCAATGGAATTACATATTCTCCGTAGACTATATTCACGTTAACATTTGATCAGCTTAAAAAAATCTCTTTTAAAAACCATTCATCATATCATCTTTGCCTATGGAAACTGAAAAAACCTTTTATCACCTCCTCTTTCCCCACATAAATTCAATGGAAAGAGTTCATATGGTTCTCTGTGCTCCAATTTGTATAGCATTTTTGAGTGAATGTAACATGGAATTATATGGCTCCACTGGAACTCTGGGAATTCCCTTAATTTTAGCCACTTGAAGGAGACAGTGTCTTAATGATCATTAAATAAAGCAGATTGATGCATAGGGCCCATCTGTTTTGGTTAGGGTGAATGCATCATGGACGTCATTTCCAGCTATACTCGTTGGCCCTCTTGTAGACCTGTGAGAATAATAACTAAGCCTTGGGATCATTGACACACCTAAAACCTTGCCTAACTAACTGAAACACTGAGGACCCCATCACCTCAGATATGAGATTGTCTTATTCTATCCAGTGAAGATTAGTGAATTGCAAAAATGGTTCCTCTGTATATTTATTAACAGGACCTTAAGCACACCTACGCCACAAGGCCATATTTTCCGTGATGTGGACGAAACACATCTTGGTTTACCATGGATGCTATTTTTGTATGAAATAAAACATGAGACATTAAATAACATGAGACATTGTACTTCTATATTGACTCAAATGTTTATTTGTTGATGATCTAAATGTTGGTTGATGTTTTTTATATGTATGAACTTTTTCTATTATAGTGCTACTCATAGTTCATAGAATTGCCAGCAGCAAATGGCTACTGAACTTGGGACTACTAACCTGCCAAGTTCTTGTTTTAATTTTGACCTTTGTATAATATCTTGTGTATTACAGTGTGCATTGTACTGAATGATTCATGTAATACTAACTTTTGTGCGTCATTGAGTTGTTCTTCAGGTTGAAATAATCATTTTGAGGCTATAGGAGCTAGTGTTTGAGTGTACATCTGCCCAAAATGCCTCTTTCCCATGCCTAACCACTGCCGCTATACAACCACTAACTTTAAAATAAGAGAAATAATATTTAAACTAGTATACTCCACAAAGATCTAATGCAGTTGACAGCTTTGGAATAAATAGCATGATTTTTAAAGCTATGAGTTGGAAGAAGTGTTAGAATAACATGGAAAATCCCATCAGGGTAATGGGTCAAGGTATTTGGTGAAGAAAGATGGGGATATGATTGTAATATAGGAAGCAGAAATTAAATGGACCATAGCCTTTTTGAGAAAAGTAGCGAGAATAAGAGAATGGGCAGGATGTGGGCAGGGAGTGGTTGGAAAGCTTAGAATAGGGAAGTCACAATCCTAACAGATGTTTGTCAAGGCATGGTGCCTAATGCCATTCGTACAATATGCTCCCTGTTTGAATTGTAAATGTCCATCCTTAGATAGGCATGGCAATATGGAAGACATGGGTTGGTCTTGTCATAATGTAGGCAAACCCCAAAATTGGGGCTCAGCCTGGGAGAGTTCTTGTCTCTGCCCAGGAAGGAATTCAAGAGTGAGCCAACAGTGAAAGAAAGCAAGTTTATTAGGGCAACGGTATACAGCAAAATGACCACTACGTCGGCTGAGCAGGGCTGTCTCCTAGGCAGCATAGCACAGAGTAGCACTCATGGATTGCTGCCTAGCTATATTTGTACCCACTCTCCTCTCCTCTCCTCTCCTCTCCTCCCCTCCCCTCCCCTCCCCTCTCCTCTCCTCTCCTCTCCTCTCCTCTCCTCTCCTCTCCTCTCCTCCCCTCCCCTCCCCTCCCCTCCCCTCCCCATTCCTCCCCTCTCCCCCTCTCCCTTCCCCTCTCCCTTTTCTTTTTTGAGACAGAGTCTTGCTGTATCACCCAGGCTGGAGTACAGTGGCACAATCCCAGCTCACTATAGCCTGGACCTCCTGGGCTCAAGCAGACCTCCCACCTCAGCCTCCCAATGAGCTGAGAGCTGAGACTACAGGTGCATACCACCACACCCAGCTTTTTTTTTTTTTTTTTTTTGTAGAGACAGGGTTTTGTCATGTTGCACAGGCTGGTCTTGAGGTCCTGGGTTCAAGTGATCTTCCCACCTTGGCCTCTCAATATGCTGGGATTGTAGACATGAGCCACCATGCCTGGGCCTCCACTCTTAATTATTTGTGAACTTCCCGGAAAAGGGATGGGGAGTTCCTGAAACCATGTAAGGTTAACTTCCAAGTCATTGCCATCACATTTTTAAACCCTCATGGTGCTGGTAGGAGTGTCTGATGCAAATGTATTATAATTTCTGGTCCTTGCTAATTCTGGTTGGTTTCTTTGCTACATCCTGTTTTGATCAGCAGGGTTGTGAAAACAAGTCCTGCTGACCTCCCGCTTCAGTAGGAACAAGAATTCTGGTCTACTCGAAGTTCTTCTCTTTGTAAATTAGTCTGTTGATAATCTGGTTATTTTACTTCGGTTTGTGCATATTTGGTTTTTAATATTTGTCTTTACTGATGGACAGCCAGCTGTGTGAGGGCAGGCAGGATTGTAATGATTTGTTGTCTTTTTTTTCCACATTGCCTGTCACGGCTGTTTGGTACACAGTAGGTACTCACAGGAGTGCATGTGATGACAAAACCAAGTTTCTGTGCCTTCAAAACTGAAGAACAGAGCCACTGTAATGAATCCACTACAGTAAATGCCACTTTATTCAGCTATGTGGGAGCCAAGCCTAGCGGCTCTCTTTCGTTCCACGCTTTCTAAAATACAGCAGCTTGGAAAACGCCTGGCTACAATGGGTGCTCAGTAAATAATGTGTTTGTTTTACTTTCATTTATCCTGGGAATGATCAAAATGACCCCTGGGTTTTAGACCTATTCAGTCTTCATGATCAAGAGAACAATTTGTTGGTCAGCAACTGAATTCCTGTGAGTCAACTTATATTAAAATAAAGGCACCTTTGAAATTAATGATGGGCAATATCAATGGTTGGTTTTTAAGCATAATCTTGTATTTAGCTGCTTTTGAGTGAGTACTGGACCTTAATAATTATTTTTAGTTGCGAAATACTTATGTGGCATAAATCATGTGCTATCTTAGAAATCGGTATTTGTAAATAACAACCCTATGGAGTATGGGGACTGTTATTGATTTGTTATCCTTATTTTCCAGATGATAAAAACTGAGGTGCGGAGAGGTTAGGTAACTCTTCCACCACCATACAGGTAGTAAGTGTAGGAGCTGGGATTCAAGGTCAGGCACTTGGGTTTCAGAGCCCAAGTATTTTTTCCCTCCATGTTATGCTATTTCTCTTTAATCAAAACAACTAGCAGCACATGCTGTATGAGTTATGACATTTGAACAGCAAGCCGTGTGCTATTAAATTGAAACACTGTGATCTCATTTGTTTCTGTTGAAACTGCCTAGCCTTGCTGCCTGGGCTTTGTTTCCCTGGGCAGAAAAAGCTTTTAAGGGAGGAATCTTTTCTTCCTTTTGCTTCTGATGACTCTCATTTCATCCACCCTTTTCCACTGTTTGTTGTTGTAGCACCACTAACGAATGGCTTCTGATTGAGGGAGGATTTTGTTCAAGGTATAGTTAACTTGAAGGTTCATTGTCCTAGCATGAAGTCATGTAATCCCCTCCCTAGGCTTGAAGTCTCCCTACTTGACATTTTACCAAGAATTCCTTCTGAGTCGGTTCCACCATTGAATCAGAGTGGCAGTCAAGATGTTCTTCCTTATTTGACCACGGCGTGTCTTGAATTATAAGTCCTTTCCTTTCTGGCTGTATTCTTTGTGATGACGCTTCTGTCTGGGATACTTAGTAAGGAGGAAAACCAGAATTTGAAAAGAGAAAATCATGGTTAAGTTGTGGAAATTTTTACACCTGAGTCCTGGGAGAGACATAAACTAAAATGAATCCAGGTGTGGCTCATCTCTTTGGGGAGAAAGGGAGTGTTTTGGGGAGACAAAAATAGTGTTTTGGAGGGACAAAACACTGTTTTTCTAGTTTGATCTGTTCTGATTGGAAACGATCACCATGGAAGCCAAATTACTCCTTATGTGTTATATACTCTGTGCTAGGTTCAGTACGCAGCCTTACTCTTTTGTGTTGTTTATAATCTTACATCAAGGAGTTGCATTTTCCTCATTTTACTTTGAGGGAACTGAATTAGGATAGGATAAGTAGCTTGTCTAAGATCGTTCTTTTTGTAAGTGGCAGAGCTGGAAATCAGCTGTCAGATTCTTGTAGACCATGCCTTTTGGTCACAGGACATGGACTCTTCACATACCATGGTGACTGTCACCAGTGGTGACAAAAGTGGGAGTCAGATAAGTTTAAGACCATTGTTTTCTTGTTCATTCTGATGAAAAATTTAATTTGGCTGTATCCTGTTAGTAAATCTGTATGTACTTCTCTTTTCAGTTTACTTCAACAAACATGTTGTTGAGTGCTAATGGTGTGCTAACGTATAAAAGAACATTCTTTATAGAGCTTATGATGTAGTAGAGGAGACTAAAAAAGAGTTGCAAAGCGCTCAGGTTCCTGTGGTAGTAGAGTTATGGGCAGAGAGGGATGATGAGTAGAGGGACAGGAGGGGCTCCCAGAGGAGGCAATATTGAGCTGAGTCTTGCTGGATGTAGAGGAGCTTGCCTTACTGTAGCATTGGGTGGAGGAGAAGGTGACCAGGTTATGAGCAATGATGATAACCTTTGAGGAACTCAAAGTAGTCAGGTGTGATTAGTGTATAGTGGATATGCCAGATGGAGTTTTGACAAGAGGGTCAAAATCTTTATAACATACTAAGAAGTTTGAGCTTCTGTCTGTGGGAGATGGGAGATACCAAAGGGTTCCCCAAGATCTAAAGAACACCAACTTCTTATAGGTAGCATCCTCACATAATGTATCGTCCACACTGAGATGCTTTGGGGAGTGAAAACAGGCACTAACCGTCGGGACTCTGGGATGACAGGCGTAAATCCAGTCTGTTTAGGGCAACCGAGGATGTATGGTCACCCTCCTCCAAAACTCTGCTATTTGTTCTCTTTTTATTTTAGAGCCGGGGTTTCACCATGTTACCCAGGCTGGCCTTGAACTCCTGAGCTCAAGTGATCCGCCCACCTCAGCCTCCCAAAGTGTTGATATTACAGGCGTGAGCCACCATGCCCAGCCAATAGTTTTTTCTATGTTCCCTTTGAGCTTTTCAAATGCTGCTCTCAACATTGGACTTGTATTACTGTGTATAATTGGTAAAGCTTTTTAAAATTAATTAATTTTTTTAAGGCTGGCGTCTTTCCAGATTTAGAATTTTTAGAACTTGAAAGGATCCCTAAAATTATATCATCCAAATCCCTCATCTTACAAATGAAGAGACTGAGGCCCCCAAGTTAATTGAAAATTTCAGGTCTTAGCTCATGATCCAAGCCAGAATCCAGGTTTCCTGACTTCCACTGAGGTACTGTTTTTATTGCCTCTGCCTTGTTCAGTCCCATCCATACTTTCCATCATCTTCTTTTTTGGGAACATCAGCATGTATTTATGTGGCTAGCCAGGATTAGGTGTAAACATTGTGGTTGTGAAGGTGACTGGTTCTCACAGAAAGAGTTTCCTTGAATAGGTCTTCTTATAACCAATTGGTAATCTCCCTCCCTAATGAAACCTTGAAAAAAGTCATCTGAAACTGAATTGCTTGTACATTATTAGCATCAGATGTGGTAGCTTTTCACATATATTAACATCCTGTTAGGTTTCTTGACAACAGCATTGTATTACTATTTTTTATTCCACTTGGTTTTTATATGAAGTTTGTGCGTGCGGTCTCTCTCTCTTTCTCTCTCTCTCTCTCTCTCTCTCTCTCTCTCTCTGTGTGTGTGTGTTCACTGAGGCAGGGCACCTCTGGAATCTACTCTTCACTCTGACATGAACTCTCTGGGTGATTCTGGGCAATTTACTTTCCCTGAGTGTTAATTTTTCTGTAGGATGAAGTTGACCAATTTGATTTCCAAGATTACTTAGGATTCTTTTTATTCTATAAATAAAATTGTAAGGACAGTAACTACTGTGGATCAACCATATAGGGCTTTCTAGAGGAAAACTTGAAATGGGATTGGGACAAAAATAAGGGACTATGATTCTTCTTTGTCTAAACGGTGCATCCCACCTTCTTTTTATTTTTCAAGGCTAGTCGAGTAGAACA